ATCAACCTCTAGCGTTTTACATTGCTGACACTAGTCTTCTCAGTATTTATAAAGCATGCTACTTTTATGGCTAATCCATTTTCTTGATTGCAATTACTTGGGAGCAAAAACTGGTTGATAGCCTATTGAAAATTAGAGCAAGAGTTCTCGTTCTAGATTTTGATTTATTTATGTGCTGCCTGGGGATCTCTAGGGGGAAGTGTCACTGACCTCCCTTTGTAAGGCACTTTGAGATCTACTGATGAAAAGTGCTATATAAGAGCTAGGTGGTATTATGTACCAGTGTCAGACCAAGACCTTGACTGTACCAGGCGGTGCCTATCAGTTGGGGGTGGTCTTAACCTGCTATGAAGCCTGGGCAGCTCCAAACTGCTAGACCTGTGGAAGATCTGTGGCAGGCTAAAGTATGCATAGTTGAATGGAGAATGGGCAGTGATGGTACACATGGGCCCAGCACAGAATCTCATCAATACGGTAGGGTGGGGGAGCACATAGTGCCTTTCAGCGCCATCAATCTGCTGATGGACGAGAGAATCATTAAACAGATTGTAGTACAGGTGCTAGAACCAACCAGAGGTGGTGCCCTTCTAGCATGAGACCTCAGCAGCATGAATCAATAGCTTACAAACGTTATCGTTTTGTTTGGTGGAGTTTGTAATATCTGCACTGCTGTTGTTCTTGCGTTTAAAGGAAAGGCATTCCTGCTGTATTGTCATTCAGGCAGCAGAAAGCTAGCTCCCTTCCTGGTCAGGCATTCTTTGCAAAATCGGAGCACTTCATAATGTTGGGGGATCTTGAGCACTGCTCAGCTCCAGAGACGCTAGTGACTTAGTACTGGGCTGTCTCATCAGCGTTTGCTTTTGTAATGTTTCATACCCCACAGAAGCAACTAAGTCACATTAGCTTATTTTGCCTGTAAAGGAGGATGGTTAAGAGTGTGTTAAGTTGCTCTGCTGAGGGATATGGTGTAACTGCTGTGTGCTTAATTCATGCTTTGAGCTGTTAAGGTGGAAAGTTTAAAAATCCAATCCAAGCAAGAAGACAGGCTAAATCTCTCTTAAACTGATTAAGTTGTATCTCCCAGAATATCCATATGAAGAAACTGTCATTTAAGATTTACAGCTGCAGGTCAGGTTTATTCCTAGCTTGTTTTTTTCCCTGTCAGTGGCATGACTAACTCATGTGGTGCACCACTGGGTGTGGTGTATTTAGCTATGTGAGATGCTGCTTTAAAAATCATCTCCTCACAAACAAAGCTTCATAATGCCTGTAAGAATTTGTTGTAATGTTTCTTCTCTGATGATTTAAAATGCAACAAAATTTACACATGCCCTGGATCAAAATAGCTTAGGAAGTATAAATGGGCCTACAAGACTAGTGTAGTGTCATATTAATTGATGTTGTCAATAATGTATTTAGAGGGTGGGGAGAAATCACGTTCGTTTCTAATCCAGCCAAGGTGGATTGATTTAAATCAAAGTAAATCCTAATTTAAATAATCAAATGGAAAATCTCTATTTAAATCATTTATTTTAATCAACTCTTCCATTTGTACTTCCTTTCTTTTCTAAAGAAAGGTGCATTCTCATTGGTTGATATAACTATTAAAACATGTTGATTTTACAGCTAAATAGAGCCTTTACAGTAGATTTGGTACATCTTTTTGCTATGTAGGAGGATACTACAGTATAACTATATACATTTATTTAAGCAATTATATAGCTTAATATTTTAGATTCTTATTAATTATTAATTGCACATTTTTAGTATGTTAGAAAATGGTGACTGATATATTGCTTATTTACTAGATAATTAACCTTTTGCTCATGATTTGTGTCAAGCTGCATTAGGATGATAACTGGAATTTAAACACAAAACAGCATATAAAATATTGTTATTAAACAAAATAAGCCCTTAAGACAGTACATGATCTATTGTGCCATATTTATAAAGCAAACAGGATGTTAGGAATCATTAAAAAAGGGATAGAGAATATGACGGAGAATATCTTATTGCCCTTGTATAAATCCATGGTACACCCACATCTTGAATACTGCGTACAGATGTGGTCTCCTCATCTCAAAAAAGATATACTGGCATTAGAAAAGGTTCAGAGAAGGGCAACTAAAATGATTAGGGGTTTGGAATGGGTCCCATATGAGGAGAGATTAAAGAGGCTAGGACTTTTCAGCTTCAAAAGGAGGAGACTAAGGGGGGATATGATAGAGGTATATAAAATCATGAGAGGTGTGGAGAAAGTGAATAAGGAAAAGTTATTGTTCCCATAATATAAGAACTAGGGGCCACCAAATGAAATTAATGGGCAGCAGGTTTAAAACAAATAAAAAGAAGTTCTTCTTCACACAGCGCACAGTCAACCTGTGGAACTCTTTGCCTGAGGAGGTTGTGAAGGCTAGGACTAGAACAGGGTTTAAAAGAGAACTAGCTAAATTCATGGAGGTTAAGTCCATTAATGGCTATTAGTCAGGATGGGTAAGGAATGGTGTCCCTAGCCTCTGTTTGTCAGAGGGTGGAGATGGATGGCAGGAGTGAGATCACTTGATCATTGCCTGTTAGGTTCACTCCCTCTGGGGCACCTGGCATTGGTCACTGTCAGTAGACAGGATACTGGGCTGGATGGACCTTTGGTCTGACCCAGTACAGCCGTTCTTATGTTCTTACGTTGACCTCAAAATGGATGGTTTTGCTCTGATTCTTTCTTTATATAGCAAAGCAGCCTTTAACTCAGTTTTTGATAGAGCACATGGATTCAGCATATTTTTTTTAATTTAAAAGATTTCAGAGATTATAATGTGTTTAGGACTTAAAATATTTTGTATTAAAGTCAGATTTCATTTTAATCAGGTTTATTTTTAAAAAGAAAAACTTTTCATAGTTTAACAAAATAAAAAAAAACTAATTTAAAACAAAATTGATTTTATCCACACTGAATCCAGGCATCAGCCTCCAGCATAATTCAAATACAGTTTTGTTCTAACTGCTTTGGAAACGTGCATCTGTTTTAACAGCACCTACTTCGTGTTTTGGACAATCCTATTTCAAATCCAGCTCCAGTTTTTTTTATCTTCCTGAGCCTGAAATATTCTGAGAATGCAAATGTCAGATTTTAGAAATAACACTAGTCAAATTCTGGTGTTTTAGAAGCAAATGATTTTAAGGTAAGCTTGCAAGTCTGCAGTATAAACCAGAATACAGTACTGAAGAAACTTGGGTACTTGCAGTGGTTAATCCTACTATCCTGATTTGCACAGGAGACCTGATGGCCTCTCCCATTGCTCAGCAAGACTGAACAGTGAATGAGAAGGTCCTGTATTCTTCTCTGAGTGTAGCCTCTGTACATGGCCACTTGTGGGATCAAGATGGCTCTGCCTTGAGCATAGTCATTTGGCACCACTCTCTCCTCCTTCCCATCCCTGAGTCTTCCAAGGGTGTAAAGGGGTGAGTGACCCAATCAGCATGCAGCTCCTTAACTCAGATCAGATGCATTGACTTTAGTTCATCCCTCATTGTTTTTTCTTTCATTCTGTCCTTTGGAGCTTTTTTATGTATATAGTTAGATTGCCCATCATTCAGCTTTTCGAGAGAGAGAGTAAATGAGGAGGTGGCAGCAACCTGTGCAGCATGGACATTGTCTGCACTTGCAAAGGTGGGAGGGCTCTTTAGGGCCGGTTGCCCCAAACTAAAGATAGTTTTAATTAAGATACATTATAGCTCAAAGATATCTATCTCATCATGGAATAGGGATTATAAATTATAATTCCATAGTGTGAGACAATCTATCCATGTAATGTTTCAGAAAAGTTTTGTAAATGAGTTCCAATAGTTCATGGATTAGGGACCCAATCTTATGGGGTCCCAGGGGCTTCTGTATAGATTATTTAGGTTAATCTTTCTATCTACCCAATGGGACTCAGTGCTCAGTCTAGAAGATACCCCATCAGAGATGCTTAGTTTTGCAGTTCTCAAACTGTGGATTTCTCTCTCCAGAGATAATATGCTTGTTAACAGGAAAAATGTTTTTAAATAATATATAGAGGTGAGAAATAACAGACCTCAAGCCTATTGTCCCTCTGCAAATTTGTGTACACAGAGTCAGTCCCTTACCTCTCTAAAAGTGCAACATTTCAAAAAGTTCAATGAATAGAAGATTGTTGGGGGCGGAATAGATCTGGACAAGGAGAAGAAGTCTGAAGATAAATGTGAGAAGGGAGGGACAGGCAGTAGAAACAAAAGTGAAACTGTTTGAGCAGCATATTCCAGAAGTCTTGACGTCTTTCTGAGTGTAATCTTCATTGATTTGAGATCTACGATACCATTCTCTCATTAGAAGGGAAAACCTAGAATGGCAGCAGGCCGTAGATGAGGCCCAGTTTGGGTGGTCTCTATCTCTGAGTTGTGAAGAATACGTATTAAGGTTATAACAACCAACAAGAATTCACTTTTATGTAGAAATCCATGATTAAATCGAGTCTTCCTGATTAAATCCATGATTAAATCAAATCCACCCCGCTGAAGAGGATCCAAATGGGAGCAGGAAAGAAACCATTGATTATCTTTCACGTGGGAACAAATGATATTGCTAGATTCTCACTGGGACACATCAAGGAAGACTGGCTGGGGAAGATGCTTAAGGAAATGGAGGCTTAAGTGATCTTCAGTGGGAGTCTACTTGTCCATAGAGGCGGAGAGCAAAGGCAAGACGAGATTATGATGATGATCATCAGATGGCTCAGGCGGTGGTGCTATAAGGAGGGCTTTGGAATGTTCGACCGCTGGAAGCATTCAGCTGTTCTCATGGGATGGACTCCACCTGAGTAGAGAGGGGCATAGACTTCTGGGATGGAGGCTGGCATAATTGATTAAATGAGCTTTAAATTAAGAATTTGGGGGAAATGTTTTGGAGCTGCTCATATAATCTCCACACCTGATTCTGATATTTAGCAGGAGGGAAATCAAGTAAGCGGATAGAGAGAAGGAGAATGGACAAGAAGAGGAAAGATTGGTACTGGCACTGTCAGGTAGGAGATACTGGCAGTAAAATGATTGTGCTTAATCAGGTGAAGAACCTGGGTAAGGCCAAGCAGAAACAGCTGAGATGTCTGTACTCCAATGCAAGGAGCCTGGGTTGCAAACCTGAAGAACTAGACCTAATGGTGCAGGAGGTGAAACCAGGTATTATAGGGTTAATGGAAGCATGGTGGAATAGTAGTCATGACTGGAGTATAGGTTTTGAAGGGTATGTGCTGGTCAGGAAAGACAGAAATAAAGATAAATGTGGTGTAGTAGCACTGTATGTTGTTGATGAGGTAGACTGTAAAGAACTTAGAAGTGATGGAATGTTTGGGTCAAAATCATTTTGGAGAAGAATGGAAACAGACTCCTCTGGGATAGTGCTTGGGGTCTGTTACAGACCCCCAGGATCTGATTTGGATATGGATAGCCCAGTGAGAGAAATACTACTGGGAATTGTGTGATTATGGGAGACTTTAATTTCTCCCATAATTGGCCTTGTTAGCACTACAAAAAGTAATTTTCCCTCTATTGATATTCACCCCATCTTGTCAACTGTTGAGAATAGGCCACTTCCACCTTGATTCAATTGGCCTCGTTAGCACTGACCCCCCCACACACACACTTGGTAAGGCAACTCCCATCTTTTCATGTGCTGTAATATATATACTGCTTACTGTATTTTTTACTTCATGCATCTGATGAAGTGGGTTTTAGCCCACGAAAGCTTAGGCCCAAATATATTTGTTAGTCTCTAAGGTGCCATAAGGACGCCTCGTTTTTTTAAAATTTCTCTGATATTAATTGGAGGACCTCATCTGGACTACTGCATGCAATTCTGGTCTCCTATGTTTGAGAGATGAATTCAAACTGGAACAAGTGCAGAGAAGGGCTGCTAGGATGAACAGAGAAATGGAGAATTTACCTTATGAGAGGAGACTTGGAGCTTGTGTTGTTTAGCCTAACTGAAGGCTCTGGAGAGATAGGATTGCTCTCTATAAATACACCCGTGTAGGAGAGGAGTTATTTAAGTTAAGGGCCAATGCTGGCACAAGAACAAATGGATTTAAACTGGTCTTCACCAAGTTGAAATTAGATGAAGGTTTCTAACCATCAGAGGAGTGAAGTTCTAGAAGATCCTTCAAAGGGAGTACAAAAACAACAAGGAGTCTGGTGGCACCTTAAAGACTAACAGATTTATTTGGGCATAAGCTTTCGTGGGTAAAAACCTCACTTCTTCAAAGGGAGTAGTTAGTGCAACCTAATTTGTTTCAAGACTGAGTTTGACAGGTTTATGGAGGGGATGATATGATGAGGTTGCATACTGTGGCATATGGCCTATCCACGATTGCTATTAGCAAATATCTACAACAGTCAGAGATGGCTCAGGGTCTAACAGATTACTATATTTGGGGTTGGGGAGGAATTTTCCCCCAGGTCAGATTGACAGTGACTTTAGGGTTTGTTTGTTTTTTGCCTTCCTCTGCAGCGTGAGAGAGAGGGTCACTTGCTAGGATTATCTGGGTACATCTTATTTAATCATTTCCCTGCCGTTGCAGGGGCCTCAGGCACTGATGCCCCTTAGTCCCTCTTAGTCTCTGCGTGCGGCACATAGTAGTCTAGTCTCCAGTGGGCTGTATTACTTTGGTCTAACTTCAGTTGTTGGATTTAGTGTGCAGATGGTATTGGCCTGTGACATACAGGGGGTCAGGCTGGATGATCTGTTGGTCCCTTCTGACTTTAGAATTTATTGCGCATTGACATACGTTAATGATAATGTAAGTTTCTGTGAAACTGGGTGTTATGGAAAGTCATGTCTACATATTCAGAATTCCACTGAAGACCTCCTGTCCTGTCCAGTATTCAACACTTCTGCCTTGAAATTTGTAAAGTTAAATGCTTTATTGCTGCCATCATTTTTATGATGGGAGATCTGCGTACTTATTTCTTGGGATATATCTGCCTAGTGCACAGGGCACTTGATTTGCAGCAGTCTGATGAGAATTGCTCACTTACCGGTAATTCTTTTGGATTCGTCTTAAAATTTATAGTGAATCAGATTTAATGTTCCTAAGTAAAATCACCATTTAGGGTCTTGCTGTCAGTTCACTTTGTGCCATGTATAAGCTTGTTTCCTATCACCCTGTCTCTCTCCCTATATACAGATTGTCTATGCAGAGAGGCCTCTAACTGACAACCACAGATCATTGGCCTCATATGGCTTGAAAGATGGGGATGTGGTGATTTTACGGCAAAAGGAGAATGCAGAGCCACGGCCTCCAGTCCAGTTTCCAGGTGAGAAACTCTTCAGACTAACTCGCTGGGCTACCTGCGGTTGTCTTGCAGTCCCCCTGGCTGTACCCAGAAGATTACCTTTAAATTGTGGGTGTTTAGCCTCTTCATGCTCTGGAGGTGTTATTTATTGATGTGTGTGAAACTTAACTAATGCTGTCCTGTCACGGGTCTACTAATGTATTACATTTAAAACGCCTCCTTTTTCAGAGAGTGAATAACTTGGTGATGAAAAATATACTTGGGGCAGAACGTTGGTTCATTAGTAAATAAATACACCGAAATACTACTTTTATCTGTGTGTAATGCATTTCAGATGTGTGTAATGTATTTCATACAAGTGCTTGAGAAACTTCACAATAGCCACCCTCATCAGGCAAAACTGTTCTTGTTTGGGGGTGGGCTTTTTCTTTGCTTTGGATACTTAAAGGATCTTGCAGTGATGGGTAGGCATGATTTAGTTTGCTGTTTGGGGGTGGGAGACAAGTAATCTTGTTCAGAAAAGCAGCTTCTGTGAAGTCATGTGGATTTTCATAAGGCTTCCTGTTCCCCTCCCATTCAGTATAATGGTGCAATAATATGCAGTCTGTGCTGCTCTTACACATTAGAGGGCTTTGGCAATGTGTGCTCTGAGTACATATTGTTACTAATGCACAGAGAAGCTGAAGCTTAGCAGACCCAATCACGTGATGCAATATATATTCAAAAGGTTCCTCAAGCCCCATAGTATGGAATTGGAGTCCTACTTCTACCACCCTTCCCCCCTTTAATTCTTAGTCCTAAGAGTTTCCATTATAATTGTATCCCTTACAAAAGGAAATGTTGACCGCAGGTTGTAGCAGGGGAATGGCTGTAAAGGTCCCCACTCTGCCTCAGCTGGAAGATTGGTGGCGGGGCAGGGCTTCAGTAATATTTTTCTTACCACAGTATCTTCTTTCATGTGAGGAATTCAGAAGTGCTTTACAGACGCTGTTAAGCCTCATAACCCCCTCGTGAGGTAGATTGGTGGTATGCATATCTCAGAGTTGAAAAATTGAGTTGGAGGGGGTTAAGTGAGTTTCCCCGTAAAATGGGCCAGATATGTGAATAGATCAGTTACATAAATATGTAATAGTATTCCTAACCCACTAACCTGAATATGTTGGTGACGCAGTGAAGCTCAGACATGAATTGCTATGGACATGAAGTGTTAGCGTAGTTTGTTCAACCATTCCACAGCTTTTGACTGCATTGTCCACAGCAGCTGAGAATGTGACATGGTCAAACTGTTAACTCGTTTTCCCTTAAGGTCTGCCCAGGATAGACTTCAGCAGCATTACGGTGCCTGGGACGTCCGCTCAGCTGCAGCAGCAGCAACCAGCGCAGCATCCTCGCCCATCGCCTCCGGAGACACCTTCATCCCCTCAGGGCTTGGACAATCCAGCACTGTTACGGGACATGTTGCTTGCCAATCCCCACGAGCTGTCCCTGCTGAAAGAACGCAATCCACCCCTGGCCGAGGCGCTGCTCAGTGGAGACCTTGGTAAATTGGGATTTGGAGGCGATTGGTTCTTCCTTGCTTTGTCTGAGGCTGTTCCGTGGTAACGTCTGTCTGTACTGAATTCTAGTAAGAAGTAGTTATGGGTGTTCAGTCACACAATGGCTGACCGCATTGGAGATGGAATTCCCCTATCCCCAGACCAGGAATAGCACGAGCTAGCAACAGCTTTGCAAACTTCCTCCACGTGACTGCTGATATGCCTTGTCCCCTTTCTTGGAGGGATCACATCTGGGGGGTGAGATCAGTTTTTAGGGCCAGTTCCATCCCTGGCCTCTGTACGGAGACTCCTGCCAACTGTACCAATTGGTGGTAATTGTGTTACTACCCCTAGCCCTCTACGACCCAGACAGGAAATAGCTCATTTTAAATCCCATCCTACCTCCCTTGCAAAAGCCTGGAAGGTATGAATATGTCACTACAGACATGGACATAAGAAAGGCTTCGTAGCTCACTGGCAGGCACCTAATCTGGCAGCCTTGTGGTCGCCCTGGGAACCAGTAAACAGTGTTTATTTCACTATTCCTTTTGAAGAGTTTCCTTAAATGTCTTTTAAAAAAAATTTAAATTTGGCTTTTTTAGAAACCAATTGTTAAAATCCTTCTGGGTGCTATCTAAGATGGTGGTGCACTTGGCAGACTTAGTGGTATGATGCCCTCCATGCTCTGCCGGTGGACACCTGTTCTTTGCTGCCCACACCTTGTCTTATTTGAGCTTTATTTTATTTATTTTTGCAATAACATAGAGCTCATTTAGTATGAAAACAGATCATTTGGAGGCATTAAAATGCATGGTTATAAACCCTTACTAGAGATCCATTTGTGGGAAACAGCTTATCAAGAACTTGGTTACTAATGTGGAGGTTTGGGAGAGATGATGGAAGGAAAAAGCACTCTATAGAAGAGCCTCTCCCCAATTTTTCTCCTTTTCAATGACTGCAGGCTGGTGACTTCTTCCAGTACAGGAAGGCTGGAGGAGAGAGCTACATGGCTTTTTTTTAATTCTCTATATTGATTTTATGTATATGAACAGTTGCAAAGAGCGAGGGAACACAGTAATGCACAATACTGTATGCCATGTTACTAAAGCAAATCCTTTACTTTCCATAACAAGTGTCTTTCATTGGCCCTCTCTTTTGAGCCTCGCAGCGTGTGTCCTATATCGGAGAGCTTGTTGCAGAACCACGTGAGATGTTCTTCCTCCCCATCCTAGGATGAGAGCACTGCTTCTAGAGCTTGCTGCCCTTGATGGCGCAAGGACAGTCTCAGTGGTAGTGGTGCAGAACACTAACTACAGGATCCCAGGACTAGTTCATCTGCCGCTTTTCTTGTCTAATCTGTACAGTAAACTCTCATAATTCAGATTTGGTACAGCTCTGTGCATTCACAGGGGATTATCAGGTTATACTGTCAGAATTTGCCATCAGCATTTGGGCAGCTATCCAGATCTGCTCTCACCGTAGTGTCCAAAATACATCAAGCTTCAATGCATATGTAATTGTGTTAGATGCATTACAATACATCAGAAGGCACCAGCTATACAGAGCATGGAGCCATGGAAATCAAAACATCCTACTCCTTGCGGAGTAAATAAGTTTTCAAGGCCAGGTGTATTTGGAACCACTGCATTTCCTGAAGTGAAAGCACTAGCTACTGTTGACACAACTGTTCTGATTTCTGAATCCAAGTGGTGTTAGGAACGCATTTTGTTGTGTACAAACCTTGAAAAACTATGGCTGAAATTTTCGACCCTTGGTATCTAAAAGTTGTGCGCCTAATTTTTTTTCAAAAGTGACCACTTCTTAACTCCCATTAAGTGTAGCTTTAGGAATCTAACTGTAAGAACTCAGATTTGTAAATCTTGGCCTATGTTACTTGGTTTTAAAATAAGACTACTGTTTGAAGCCTCCGATGTCATAGAACTTTGACTTTGCTCAGATGCAAAATTAATCTATGGCCAGTGAGTTCTGCTGCTGTCTTTTTGGCAGAACATCTGGTTTTGTCGGCAACATGGTCCAATGCACAGCGCACCACACTGGGATTCAGAAGACCTGGATTACATTCCTGGCTATGCCACTGACTCTTTGTGACGTTGTGTAAACCAACTGACCTTGGTGCCTCCATTTCCTCATGTTAAAATGAGTATGGGTAATGACATCCACTTTCGTAAAGCGTTTTGAGATCTATGGGAGAAATGTTAAGTATCATGGTTATTGTGACTTCAGTTTCTCCTAATTGAAAAAAAATGTTTGACTAAAGATTGTTCTACGTACGAATGAATAATTTAGACTAGACTAGAAGAATACAAATGCTGAATTTCTGACTCCTATTCTGGATGTAACTTATTTGCTGCTTTTGGAAATGTTCTTGCATGATATCATTGGGTAGATCTTGCTGCAGTAAAGCAATGAAAATATTCTTTAATAGCAGCTGTTTGATTTAAATAGTGTCTCTGCACATTACATTTATTTGCAGACAATGGAAAGATAAATGTAGGGTAACTTCAGTTCATTCGGAACCTGAGAACTCTGTTATGTCTACATAGGCTGTTGGGCATCAGGCCCAATGCGAAGCAGTTCAGTCCACTGAGATGGGAGACAAAGTGGGAATCTCGAGCGAGTACATGATCAAGCCCGTGAGTTCTGTCTGTGCTGGCTGGTTTTTCAAGTAGCCCTGAAATAGAGCCCACTGCTGATTGCACTAGTCACTTTACCTTTCAATGGTGGCCAACATCTTTAAAAGACACTGTTTTGCTACAAGTTTAATAGCTTTTCATTTGTAAGAGTAATTTCCAGTAAAGGGTGTCTGTGCATCTAACTATGGTGTTTATATCTGTTTTTGTTACTGCAGAGAAATTTACCAGGGTGCTGGTGGAGCAGCAACAGGACCGAGCCCGCCGGGAGCAGGAGAGAATCCGTCTGTTTTCAGCTGACCCTTTTGATCTTGAGGCTCAGGCAAAGATAGAAGAGGACATAAGGTAGCAAACCTAAGTCCCAGGGAGAGCTCTGGGCCCCTTTGTGGGACCCTATTCCAGTTGAAAATGCATTTTTGGGGTCTAGTTGGAATCAAGAGGGGCAGGGTAGATGCAGCATTGTCTCCCATTTGTTGACTCTGTCACTTCTTTTGGTGGTGTGGTCTCACCCCCCATAGCTGTCAGAGTAGAGGCAGTCTTGGTCATCTCTCTCAACACTGGGACTGCAATTTCCCAAAATCCAGTCAGAGTCTTTGTTCTTTTTCAGGGACCTTTCCCAATTCTGCGGTGCGTCTCCATGAACTAGCCAGTAGAGAGCACTGCATAGAAACTGCTTAACCAAAGTTCCCTGGAGACCCTGCAAGTAGCTGCCTGGGGTATATTGGATCCCCTCAAGCCTGAGCACCAGGACTTGCAAATGTAACCCCTAACCCATGTCTCCTGGGTATGTCTATGCAACAAAGAAAAACTCGCGGCTGGCCTGTGCCAGCCGACTCGGGCTGCAGGGCTGTTTCACTGCTGTGTAGACTTCTGGGCTCACTTCACAGGGTCCTAGAGCTCAAGCTCCAGCCCGATCCTGGACAGCTACACAGCAGTGAAACAGCCCACAGCCTGAGCCCCATAGGCATGGGTCAGCAGGCCCAGGCCAGCCCTGGGTGTCTAATTGCTGTGTAGACATACCCATCGAGGCTTGGTCTACACTTAAAACTTACGCTGGCATAGCTCCCGGTGTAGATGCTTCTGACAGAAGAGTGCTTCTTGGCAGCATAGCTAACATTGGGGAGGTGGTGTTTCTACACCAACAGAAACTCCTCCCGTCAGTATAAGCTGCCTCTCCACTGGGCGGCTGTAAGTTTGGTAGTGCAGATATAGCCCAAGTCTCTGCTTAGTTGCAGATTTCAAGCATAGTCATTGTTGGAAAAGTGGCTCTGTAAAAATGGCACCATGCTGCCTCTGGTTTACTTCCCCTTTGTATCTTTTGTATGTAACTTCAGAGTCTGTAAGTCCGAACAAGGCTTCTCTCTCTGCCAGTGCTACAGGCTCAGCTAGGTACTGCCTGTGGGAGAGGAGGTCTAATTCTTCTGTTTCTTACATGATCAACAATACATTTTTGAATCAGAACACAGTAAGCAGTTTTGCTGATGTATGAAGACATTCTGCTTCATACAATAGGCTCATATTGGTTTTGCAGACTTGGCAGTGCTAAAACATGCATTAGTAATAGGGAAAATAATCATTGATTATATTGTAATGACTACATTACAATATAATAAAGCATTTTGCACTATGTACATGTTAAGTGTTTTTCAGTATTTCACAGTGCTGTTCAAACGCCGACTAAACAAAACATCCCCATGAGCTATTTAAGTTGTGTTGTTATCCCCACTTTTATAGAGGAGAGAAAACTGAGGCAGAAAGAGCAAGTGATTTGCCCACAACTAGACAGTCATTTAGTGACCGTGGGGATTAGAACCTGGGAGATGCTAGTTCTCGGCATTTGTCTCTGATCACCTGACTCAAGCCCCTCTCTATTAGATTTTGTCCCCATGAAAAGATGGGTTGGGAGCAGATGCTGTGTGCAGCATAATAAATGCCGCATTTTACAGAGCCACGTTTCTAACCTTTATGCACATTTTAAAGAAAATCGGGGGGGGGGGGGGGAGGGGAACTGGGTTTGCTGTAGTTATCTGCCAGTCACATACACGTCTTGCTTCCGACTGACTTAATCTTAGGTCCTGTACGAGGGCCCAGTAGGTGTTGCTTTGAGCTAGATCATGAGTAAATAAAACCAGGGCAGCCAGTGGCTGTGCAATATGCTGCTCTGCAGTTGTCCACTGTAGCAATGTGAGACTCACCAGTGCGGCGCCTCCTGCTGGTCGTCTGGGAATTAGCTCTTTTCCAGTGTGTGGAGCGCCCTCTGCAGGCTGGTGTCTTGCCTGCCGCTGGCCCCGTGTCCCTCTCAGACCCTGGTGCCCCTTACCCTGGGGTTCTGCCCCAGCAGTAACCCACAGTCTGGATCTCCCCTCCCAGGGGAACCCCCAACCCTCTAACCCCCACCTTGCCTCAGTGGCTACTGCCAGTCATCACCTAGCCCCCGCTCACTGGGGCAAACTGCAGTCTGTAATGGCCACTCATCACTGGCAAGGGGGTTGGACCAGCTGCCTCTGCCTAACCCCAGACTACACCTCTGTAGCCCCAGTGCCTCCGTAGGCCTTGCAAAAGGCCTGCAGCCTGGGGAGTTGCCAGGCTGGAGCTCCCCAGCTCCTCTTGCCTTTCCCCAGCACCACTCTACCTCAGGTGCCCTTCTCTCCCAGGCAGCCAGGTCCTTCTCTCCACAGCTAGAGAGAGACTGCCCCAGCTCACTTGTTCACAGCCCTTTTATAGGGCCAGCTGTCTCCTAATTGGGTGTGGCTGCTTTCCCAATCAGCCTACCCTATTGGCTCAGCGGGGCAGCCCTTTCCCAGGGCTGTTTTAACCCCTTCAGGGCCGGAGCAGGGTGATCGCCCCGCCACATCCACCTTCAGTTCCCAAGCAG